AATGGTAGTTTTAAATCGTTCAACTTTAAAGACTTCTACAAATTATAATTTTCATTAAATTTCACAAACATTTCTATTTTTGAGGCTGTTGGACATTCAGGAAATAATACTAATTCATTAAATTTCGATATTAAAAAATTTATTTTTCGGCAAAATGTCGCTAAATATCTCGATCCGGACCACTGTGTGGCCGGGCGGGTGACGATAGAAGACCTCAGCCTGGAGGAAAGTCTATTGCACTGTCAAATATCTAGCAATACATACTATTGCAAGTGGGTGGATAAATGAAAAAGTCTTTGTTTTGTAACGAACTGGGAAATTTAGTTTACGGCTAGAAAGGATGTTCCATCGCTACGAAAATTGCACGTGAAAACAATGTGTCATCCACTTAAAAAAGAAACTCTATACCTGCACCGTGTTTATTGCTTTGTCCTTCGGTGACAAACAGCAAAGACCCTTAGACTCGTTAGACCCGCTAAGGTTTTTCATTATGCAGGCAAAGAAAGTGTTTCTCAATCATCGATTCGTTTTTGCTTATTTATTATTTACAGTAAATCCAACATATACTCTCCCACGAAGCGCGTATATAAATGAAGAAGACTTTCGCGGCAATATTTTATTTTAATCGACATGCAACTCCACTCTAAAATCTTCCACAATAATGTTTCCAACAAAGCTTGATTACTATGCATTCATTTAAAAATTCTACTGTACAAAATAAAATAACATTTATTTTCGTGAATAATGTAGGTTATGAAATTGTAGACAATAAGGAACGTATTTTTTGTACAAAAATTAAAATATTAATTCGTGTAAATTTCTACTATTGTATAGTACGATGTATTTTGAAGCAATTCCGAATGTAGTAAAATCTGCATATATGTATACAAGTGAGATCAGGACTCAAAAATTTCATGCCGGTGATGATGTATTTATTCCAACATCGACAAAGCGCTATTTATTTTACAACGAAGTTTACCAGATGCAGAAAAACTCAAAAACTTGGCGCAACGAAGCGTCGCGACGGTTCCGCGTCTGGCAAAACGAAAAACGTAAAACCCTAATAAAAAAAATATATATTTTGTACGATATAGTTTCTACTTAAGTTAAATGGAAAAACTTTTTATTTGTTCTATTCGATTATTTAAATAATAAGAAAGAACTGCAGAAATAGTAAATTATAGTCACAAAAATATTCATACACTACGTAAATTAACCTTGTAGAATAAAAGTAAGAGTATTTAATCGAGGATAAATATTTTGTGAAATATCAATTTTGTTACACAATATGTATATCATTTTTCTATAAGACATTTTTTAAATTTCTTTTTTAAATGTATGATTGTAAGACGTTTATATAACTATATAGCGACCATTTTTAAACAATTCGTATTTTGTGCTTTGAATCGTGGCTCCAGTCAAACTTAAATCATTCTTCAATCTCGATTTTTGTAGTACATTTTACTAGTTTGAATTTTAAAATACTGTTTTTAAAAATTCCAATCCACTTATTATTTGTGAAGCAATCTCAATCTCAAGCGGTGGTGGCCCCGGGTCCTCCGTTTGTGGGGCCTGGTCCACTCGGAGTGGAGGAGGCCGACTTCGGGCGGCGGATGGTTGTCGGCGGGTGCCGGCTGGTGTCCTCGCTGTGGACGGCGCGGGCGTCGGTGCGGGCATAGGCGTTGGGGCCGGCTGAGGCCGGTTCCAGATGCCGGCCGGCGGCCTGCTCCTGGCGACGGACGGCGGCACGGGTCCCGCTGCTGGGCGGTGAGCCTGCAGGGTGGTAACGACTCGTGGTGCCGGGGGTGGAGGCCGTGTCGTTGTCTCCCGGCCTTACACCGCGCAGATTTCTGCTGCGGGCGGTGGTGGCGGTCGGACCCGCGGGGGCGGTCCTCGGCGCACGGGTGGTGCGGCGGGCCAGGCCTCGATGGCCTCCGACTCGACGCGCGTTCTCGCTCACCAGACGGCGCACGGCGGGTATAAATCGCGATCGCGGAGCGATACCAGCCAGAACGCTCGACACCGCTAGCTGGCCTCTTACGCCGATAAGAGCGCAAAGCAACCGAATCGATACGGAGCGATTCTCAATTTTTGTACCCCCTTACAAATTCCGCCAACGGAGCGCGTCAGAATCGGAGTGCGTCCGCAGCCGACTTTGACGCCCACTGCACCGTTTAACCCGCAGTCCCGACGTCGTGGCAATCAAGGCCACGAAACGTGGACATCCGGTCACCGGTAGGGACTAATGCCTCTGCAGAGCCCCTCCGGATTCACGACCTCTATTAGCCGAGGGAAGGGTGGAGGTGCGTCCGCTGCCATCCGACCCCATTAGTCGGCGACATCCAATTCCGCCTCCTGAACTCCTACTACCCCCAGCGAAGCACTGTACTCGCGAGCGACCGTCGGGACCACGTCCCCACTAGCTTAGGGACTTTTATACCCCTAGCACAGGAGCAAGCGAACCCGGCGTACCGACTGAGCCGGCAAAACCGGGGAACTCAACCGGAGTTCCCGTTACAAGTTGATGCCAATTAACCATAGTTGTATACGCGATCATTTATAATTTAACTTAAAATGCACAATTAATTGCGAAAATAATGCAAACTAGTATAATTCAGTATTATTATTTATGTCCTTTTAGTAGTTAAATAGTGAAGTAAATAAAAAAAGCTTAGAATTTACTCAACTATATGAAAATTATAATTTATACTTGTAAAATTTATCTATATTGTCAGATGAATATAAATTTAATATTTTCTAATTACGTGTTTTCAAAAATGTGTGACAAAAATCAAATACTGAATGGGATTAAAATTCTTTAAAATAATATCAAGGAGTTTGCTCTTCCCGCAAATAGATTGTGGCGCCACCACGGAAGATAATCGTTTCTAGATAGCGATCCATAGATCACACTTCCGTATAGATCCTCGTGCCAAACATGTGGGAGGAATTAGGTTGACTAATGAATGAGCCCCTTTCTTATTTAACAATATAACGTATATATTTTAATACAATTCTCACCACGTGCGCATCACGCTCTCTTCCATACAAGAGACTTCACGCGCCGTCCCTTTCGCACACCAGCGCTGCCAACACCCATTCTCATTCATACCACACTTACTCACCAGGCATACCACTCAATAAAAATAACCCCACAAAACAGACGTGTATGCCGTTACAGTTATAGTAAAACACGTGTTATTGCGTTTTGCGTTAAACTTATATTGTTCTGTACGATTAAATTTATCTCTTTACTTTTTCTTATAATGTATGTATGTGTTTACCTCAAAGGACCTTCTCGCAATTATTAAATACCACCCAACATAATATTTTATTTGAAGGTTACTGAAAACATTTGTATAATAGTATAAAACAGTTTATTTATTTAAAGAGTAAAATATCGTTATTTGTTTCACTTGAAGTATAAAATTAAGAACTTTTCCTAGAGAGTGCTACTAGTAGTAGTAGTAGTAGTAGTATGATTTTATTGACTTCCCCTTAGGGTTACAGAGCCTTTCCTCCTTTCTTTCACAATTCTTCCTTAAACTAACTTTACTTCTACCTTTTACCTATCCTCCTTCGTTCGCTTTCCTCCCCTCTCTCTCTCTTTTCGCTTATCCTACTCTTTGAACCGTCCTACCAATCGCAATTTTATTAAAGTGAGTTGTAAGGTCACTTCCGCGAATTCCGCGACGATGTAATGGGACGGAAGGACTGTGAAGAACCTTATTGAACACAATCTAATTTTATTTATGATAACAATAACACTTATAATAATAACTAGTAATTTAACACTGTGTAAAATGATATGTTCGGGTTGAGAGAGTGATGTGGTTTCGAATCTGATTTTTGATGAAGACTTTCTGCGCGGAGTCTGTCGGTGGTATTTAAAGATGAAAATTTCGTTGGAAGGGGAGTCAAAATTTTGGGGGTGTCTTCTAACCGAGGATCCGCCTCCGTACTTGGAGGTACTTATTCTGAACTTAAGGATTGAACCTGGGCTGGCCTTTTCGTGGGGAAAATCTTCGAAAGACTCCCTCCCACCTCTTTGGGGAGAGGCAGGAGGGGTGTGTGGGATTCCCCGCGCCCATTATAACGGGCGCGGGACCTACCCACTAAAAACCCCACGGTGACCCTTCCGCACGATTTGGGAGGATACCGGGAATCGCTCGAAGTATACTTCCGGTATCCTCCCCGTGCCCGCGCTTTGCGCCCACCCGCGGGGGGACACACGGTCCCCCCGGTAATCGCCCTGTCTCATAGCGGCAGGACGAGGTCACATCGTCCTGCCGCCATCCGTCCCGGGGCCGCGTCTAGTGGCGGCTGCAAGCACCTGGGCTGGCCTTGGTACGGTCGGAAAATGACGGTCGAGCCCAGGTGGTGACCACCGGTGGAGACGTACGCAATAGAGTCGTGGGTTCGCTAGATTTGTAAATCATACTTGTAAGGCCGTAAGAACCGTAAAAGAGAAAGTTTCTGTGACTTCCAAAAAATAATCTTAAAAGGGGACTGATGCGACATCGACTGACGTACGAGTTTATTGCTGGTACGTGCCTTTAAGGAGTTTAGAATTTTGCGGCACAATGGGGACTTTCCGAAGCTGTTACGGTTCGGAACTAGACACTCTTAACCTAACCTTAACCTACGCGCCTTGTACCAATCGCTTCGCCTCGCTTCGTTTCCTACTTTCTAACCTTAAAACTACGCCTCCGTATCTCAACGCCCGCCTCCTCCGCCTTTGACTTCCATTTCCATACTTTCATTCCACTCCTTCTTTCACTCCTTCCTCCTTTCCTACCTCCCTCCTTCCTGAACTCTCTCCCCGCTTTCCACCTCTCTCTCTCTCCTCTTTTCCTCCAGTCTTTTCATCCATCCCTCCCCTTTCCCTTCTTCGTCCAAAATTTCCCTTATCTTTTCCCCAACCCCCTTTTCCTCTGCCTCATCCCCAACACACCGATCCAAGACGTGCTCCCACGTCTCTTCTCCCCCCCCCGCACATCCTACATTTCCTCTCTTCCTCCTCTTCCCAATATCTCCCCCCCCCTCATCTCGTTCCCCAGCCTATACCTCGCCTCTCCCCACCCTGCCCTCAAATACTTCGGTACCTCTTCCACTACGATCTCCCTGTACCACTTATTGTACCTGGACTGCCTTATCCTGGCTCTTCTCTCCTCTTCCTGCCTCCTACCATCTTGCTCCCCCCATCCCTCCGACTCCTCTCGCCCTCTTCTCCCTTCCCCTCCTTCCCATATCCCTCTCTCCCTTCTGTACTCCATCCTTTCTCTCTCCCATGCCGACAGTTCCACCTCCCCTTCCCTTTCCCTTTCCCTCACCACCACCAAGCACCACCTGGCCAACTCCCCTCCCTCTCCCCTACCTAGTTTCTCCTCGTATCTCCATGCTCTTTCTCCTGCCCCCGCCCTCAACTTCATTCTCTTCGTCTCCTCTCTCACCATATACCCCGGTGTCCTCCAATCCACCCCCAGCGACCACCTGATGTACCTCTCCTGCATTCTCTCCATATCCTCTCTCTCTTTCCACCCCCAAATCTCCACCCCGTATCCCGCCACTGACCACACCAGGGTATCAAACAGCCACATCCTCCTTCCCCAATCCCTCTCAAACTTCCTCTTACCAATCCCCCATACCTGCCGCATTGCCACCCCCGCCTTCTTTACCCTATCCCTAATTTGTGCCTCCTGCCCCCCATTCCTCTTAAACACATATCCCAAATACCTAAACTCCTTCACCTCCTCTATCCTTTTCCCTTTCCATCTCCAATCCATCTTCCTTTCCCCACCTCCCCCTTTCTTGAACCTCATCACTTTTGTTTTTCCTACGTTTATCTCCAGCCTCTTTTTTTCCAAATATCCTTCCAACCGCCTAATCATACTCTCCATCTCTTCCTCTTCCCTCGCCAACAGCACCAGATCATCGGCATATGCTAGCGTGCAAATCCTCCTTCCCCCCACTTCAACCCCTCCCCACCTTCCTTTCCTGAACTCCTCCTCTACATCCGCTATCAACATATTAAAAAGTATCGGGTTCAGCGAGCACCCTTGCCTCAACCCCTTTGTCGTCCAGAATCCCTCCCCTCCCACCCTCACTCTGCTTTTCGTCTCCCTATATATCTCCCTCACTCTTTCCCTCAGCCCCTCCCTCACCCCTCTTTTCTCCATCGCCTCCCATAGCACCCTCCTACCCACCGTGTCGAACGCCGCCCGCAGATCAACGAAGAGCGCCACCGCCTTGCCTCTCCTCCTTGTGCTCATCTTTCCTATAATGTGGTTTAACACATAAATGTGATCCGTCGTGGTCCTCCCTCTCCTAAACCCTGCCTGGTTTTCCGAGATCATGCCTTTCCCCTCCACCTCCTTCTCCAACCTCCCTACCAGCACCACCGCATAAATCTTATAGAGGGTCGGCATTAGCGTCACCCCCGTATACTCCTGCGCCCTCGCCCCGGCCCCTTTTTTTGCCAGCGGTACAATAATCCCTTCCTTCCAACCCTGCGGCCACCCCTCCCCGTCCCACACTCAACTACAGATCTCCCACGCCAGATCTACCCCTCATACTTCCATGCCTCATTCGGGATCCCATCCCCTCCAGACGTGTATGCCGTTACAGTTATAGTAAAACACGTGTTATTGCGTTTTGCGTTAAACTTATATTGTTCTGTACGATTAAATTTATCTCTTTACTTTTTCTTATAATGTATGTATGTGTTTACCTCAAAGGACCTTCTCGCAATTATTAAATACCACCCAACATAATATTTTATTTGAAGGTTACTGAAAACATTTGTATAATAGTATAAAACAGTTTATTTATTTAAAGAGTAAAATATCGTTATTTGTTTCACTTGAAGTATAAAATTAAGAACTTTTCCTAGAGAGTGCTACTAGTAATAGCTACATTTAGAAAGAAGTAAATAAATTTAATTTGCAAATTTTATTTCTTGCGTTATTTGTTTCCACAATTTATTTTCGAATTAAGAATTCCTTCAAACGCGTGTTTATAAAACAAAGAGGAAGTATTTTACGCTTTAGGTTATTAAAATAAAATATTTCATTTTATGGTGAAAAACACCAAAAAAAAATATTCCATTTCATGCTTCAAATTGTTAAAATAAAATATTTTACTATGAATGTCTTATTGTTAGAGATGCATTTCTGTATGCTACGTGCCGCTGTTGGGTGGTCCACGTTTATACAACCTAATAGCAACATGTTATCGTTAAAAACAAAAAGACATTAACTACTTTTCCTTTCGTGTGTCACATTAAATATTAGTGTTTTACGTATTCCATTTATTTATGCCGGATTTCGCCTTTTTCCCTAATAGTTATGAATTCTATAAATAAAAATATTTTATTCTCAGAAATTTTGCTTCGTATTTAAATTGTAAAGAATTTATTATTCAAAATATTTTCTCTGTAAATTTTACCCAGCTGTGACTGCATTACAGACTCCTGTATAATATATCTTTTACATTAGCTACTCTCTCACGATCATCTGATATAAATCTGATCGAGCACATATAGTGGGAATTTTAAGAACGAGTTCGAAAGCATCATACATATATGATCAAAGGCGTCTCTTAAACAGATTTTGAAAGACGAATGGAATACTGTATCACTTGATTCGATTAAAAATTCAGTATTAGTCCACGTTTAACCAATCTTGAGAAACCATTCATCAATGGAGGAACTCTACGAAATGTTAATTATAATTAATGGTAGTGCAGAAACATTTTGTTCTTGAAGAAATGTTATCCTTACCTAAGTTTTGCCAAGATTTATGTATAATATGTAATTACAGTAGTCCTTCGATTATCTGACCTAATAGGATTTTTGTTTACCTTATTACTACAAATGAACTACGAATTAATTTGCTATTCTTGTTTAAACGATAATAATATTATCGTTATATAAATGTACATAACATATAGTAATAACGTTTGTGGATTACAATATATGGATTATGTAATGTGTATTTGGGTAAACAATTTTGTGAACATTTGTTAAATTTTTACGAGAAGCGTGAATAGGAGTAACGTAATGAGTCCATTAATATTTTAGAATTCATATTGGATAATCTCGGAATCGGTTAATCGAGAGTTAAAAAGATAAAGCTTTTTTTTATTTTCATATTTTTACTACATAAATACTGTCTGTATAAATAATACTCTATCTCTCACTGAATATAAGATCGAAAATCTTTATTCAAATATTTTTCCTATCAACGAATAAATGAAATTGTTTGCTCAACCACTGCTTCTAGTTTTATTTACATATACACAGTGTTGTGTGGTACAAACGATAATAGTGTCGTTTTATATGAAAAAGTGAATCGAAAATATAGAATAAAATTTGTTCGTGAGATGCTTTATTTTTAGTGAAAAATCGTGAGTACGACTTGGTGAACGTTTCTGACCATCGTTCGTTATTATTACTTATGCTGGTATTTTTAATCATTGACTAATTTTCGTTTATCTTACTGCTTTCTGTCTTGAAACCGCTTAAAACAAGTGATACCATATCAACATAATACAACCACTTAACACAAGTAGAAATAACGAATAATGGTCAGACACGTTAAATCAGGGTTTCTCAATTTTTTCTTTCCGCTGATATCGTTAACAAAGAAACTTTTGAAATTGTATTTTAATTGTTGTAATTGTTTGAAATTCCAAACATGATTTACTGTAGGGCTGCTTAAGACGCATTCCTTATTTTTCGACCGTTAATAGTACGAGGGCGTAAGATCCTCCAAATTACTTAACGCCCATGTCCAACTTTACCTCTTAGAACCTAGTTAAACAATAGAAATTGGCATACAGTGAAGCCATTACGCGACGCGCATTCTTTAATTAGTTCCAGAGGTTCCTTAGGCCCAATGGATGGGACTTATTGATTAGGGTGGGCTGACTCACGAGGGATGAGCAAGTGCCGATTTGCCAATTAACCCCTTGCACTATGCTGAAATTCGAAAGAAGCGGTGCCTAACCCATACGCCCAAATGATCAGAACGAGCCCTATTGTCGGAACTTGAAACACGATATGTCGATTGACGGAATATCGATATTTACGAATTCGACTCGTGATATTTATGTTTTGACGAAATGTCGATTACAAGTCAGACTCGTGTTATTCACGTTTGACGTGAAATTGAACAACGATCTTAATTAAAGATCGACGAATCCGAAATATGGTCTATGAATTAATAATTACTTTTGCAGATATCATAATTGATGTCGATTGGACATGTAAAGAAATGCACGAAACTGACTCGACTTTTTTCGCGATTCCGGCAGAATTTCTAGTAGATACGTGATAATATTACATGAAAGCACCAACAAATATTAACGGAAAGTACTACGAACGATTCTTTATTTGTGATAAATAAAGAGCAAAGTTTAATATACATTAATAATGAACGATATTATTAGAAAAGAAAATTATTCTGATTAAAATTGAATTATTTAAGAGGAAAGATTTTAATCATGACTGTACAATAAAACAATTTACTTTGAAAATTTAAGGTAAATTATTGAAGCAAATTAATTAAAATATTCAAATCTCGGACGATTTTGTCGTCAAAACGTATTTTTTAAAGATGCAAATAGTACATAATGCTTGACTCGAGAATTTATCCGTCGCGAAATGTTTTCTTGTACATGGATTGAAACATTATATTTTCCAATATGTTAGGAAAGAGTTTGGTATCTTGGAATCAAAGTTATGAAATTATATTTAAATGCGAGACATGAACAATATAAGAAATAATCAATATTCGAAATTATATATTCAATAATCATTCTATAGTGAATATAATTAATTTAATAAAATACTTCACCATACTATGGAGCTTTTATTTGTTATAATAGAAATCGCGAAGCACAAGAGAGTCCTAGCCTGAACTAGGAAAAATATAATAGTGCATGTTACTACTCACTGGTTTGATTCATACTTGCGGTCACTAAATTCGGCAAAAATACCAAGTGTACAACCAGTCACCCGTGTTGATTCGGACCTTTTGTCCTACAACATAATTAGGGGCCGGAGGAACAAAAATCACATGCGAGTCACCAATCGTTGACTACGATGACGTTGTGTTTCGGCCGCGTAGCTACTATGCCCTCGTGCTCTGTAGTGCGCGGACCGTGCGTATTACACAGCTCCGTACTGTGTTCCCTTTCCGTTCTCGAAGGACCACCCAAACTGGTGTTTGAGAAATTACCGGTAACCTTGAAGCCCGTTGCTTCAAGGAAGAGCCCGTTGCTCTTTTTAATTACACAAGAATGGTTTTGCTTGCGGAGAGTCGACTCGAGTGTGTAAGGCTCGATCAAACGAATCTAATGCTAAGAAGTAAAACTACTCTTAACCTATGCTCGGTTTCCCCTGCCAAGGTGACGAAAACGCGCAGCGCGAACCGGTGTGAGGATTGGTCAAGCCAATCCTCAAAGTTGTCACCTTGGCAGGGCGTTTCCTGCATTTTGCAACATTCCCGCCCACCCTGCTGTCCAGTGTCCAGGTAGACCGTGCAGGAGTGAGCGAGAACGCTGCATTATTATTAACAATTTGGGAAATACCCAATGACCGCAAGACCCCGGTGGTCCGCAGCTGTGTGCCAACGCGGGTTTACGATACGTCAATCGCTATTGAGGCAAGGAAGCTCCAAGGATTCCATGTCCCGTGTGGAGTTTGGAGTTTCCTTAATGGCCGTAACGTAATTTAGCAAGTAAAAATGTCTTGAAGGCCTAATCCTCAAAAATAGCGGAGAAGTCAAGTCCGTATCATAAACCTCGCGATGTTAAGGTTCCTTTAGAATCCTTAACACGTTGTATGTACCTCTGCGACGATGACGATGATATTGTCCAGTGAAATACATCAGCGAAGTCATCTGCATGGTCCTGCTGGTTTCCAGGATGGAAGTACAAGATCCACAGTCTGTAAAGTACAAGAAAACAATTATAACTTAACGTACAAATTATAGATATTTCATAATTTAATATAGTACACTCTACGTTCGAAACTATTCACAGGTTTTTGATAATTTAGAGAATTTTAAACAGATAGCAAATTGATGAAGATGTAGATAGTTAAGTAGGTTTTGATTGTATTGATGGGATGGCAATAGGATGATTCGCTTCCAGACGTTCTTGTGCTCTTGCTCTGCCCCCAATAATGTAGTGAGCTGCTGTAATGTTGGTAGAGTTGACGATGAATCCCAATTTATTCTTCCATGCTTCGATGAGCTGTCGAGACAAACGTTGAGTAATGAGATGCACTAAGATTGGATCCCATGATTCAATTTGAACATTCAGTGCTTTGAGTGCATTTAATGATTCTGTCAACGAGCTGAGGAACTTGTTCAAATCTTCTGAGTTGCACTTGATGACGGAGCTGTGGCCTTTTATTGAGTAT